TTGGGTATAAACCCAAAATATCTGATAACGAAAAAACGTCGGCAAAAACAAACAAGTGCAATAAAACGAAAGATCCCCTTCATTAAGCTTTACTGCATCATGATTAAATACTCTTAATTTGATGAGTTTCAAAAAATACATTCTTATTAATTGCTTAGGTTTTAATATTAAACTCAAAATTTGAAATAGATCATCGAAATCAGACATACTAATCAATCATAATCTGAAAATGATGTTAACAAGAAAATGGTTTTGGAAGTAGTAAGCTTTCGTCAGTTAGGTACGTTTGGGTCATGGAAGGAGCAGGATCAAGACACAGAAAATACTTCGCAACACGAGAGGCGCAATTGGTTCATATTGAATATATTTATTTACTAAAAGAGGGAAGGGGTAAAGACTAAGATCTAGAATAACGTTTTCTAATTAATAACCAGCATCTATTTATAAAATTTCTTATACATGCGAAAAACAGAGATGGGTTTCAATTATAGATTAACAAAGGATTTTACGGTACAGATATCAGGAGTAGATTATTGGCAAGGATGAGTAATTGAGAGGTGACGAGTAGTAACAGGCTGGATTTAGTTGACATTGAATAATATGATGTTTCGGGGAATCTTTATGGTTTGACACGGGGGAGAGAACTGGATTAGGAAAAAAAGTAATAGATAATCGGAAAAAGGTTTACTAAGGTTAAGTAAGACAGGAAGCGGGAGTAATATTTATAGACAGATTAAGGATATGTTCTAGAAGGTTTTCGGAGGCGGTCACGATACAATAATATGATTTTTCGTACAAGGTTTTACAAGGAGTTAGGTAGCAGACAAGAGATACTGATATTAATTTTTAGGAAAAGATTTTACATAGGATTTGAGATCATGGTCAAGTTATGCAGACAATAAAGAGGGCGAGTAAGTTATGACAGTTTAATTAAAACGACAACTAATTCTCCCTAGAAATTCTGGTCTGAAGTGTCATACTGTGATCTGAAAAGGAGGTTTCTGATTACTAAAAGCTAAAAATAATCTGGAAAACCAAAGTGATAAAAATCAAGTTTAACCTATTAGGACGGTCTTATTGTCTCTATATTTCACTATGGTGACTTCTATAATGCTACCTAGTTCCTATTCTAGTCTAGCAAAAAAAAGACATCGATTCATTAAAGTGATTGTATGCTATTTTTTAACGACCAATGCGAAACCCTTTAGTTCAGTTAGATTCCCTTACGCATTGATTATTTATTGCATTACCGGATGTACCTTATTTTTGTCTCCGTAACCAACTTAATTTTTAGATTTCTGACACAATGGCTTTTTATATCTTTGTATTGTGTTTACATTCGGGACTCGACTCGGTTATTTTACATCTTTAAACCAGTTGTTCATGCAATTACTGTTGGGGTGTTTGTCAAACCGAAATTGCAACAGGTAATCAAATTTTATGAGTAAGCAGTTCGGAGATGAAAGTGTTTCCCAAGATATCTCTTTGAAATGAAAACCATTTAATTGCAAAAAAAAAAGTATTCTCATAACATGTTTTTGACTAATGAAAAAACAGGAACAGAAGCTTCGTCATTTGCGATTTTGGCGAAGGCGCAATCTCTTTCACTCGTTACGACATCAGAAAGGGAAATCTTTGAATGTTGAGATGTACAGTAAAAAAATGGAATTGAAGCAATGATCATATTTTAAATTGTTGTTGAATAATTTGAATCCTCCAAACTAAGTGGAACCTTCTTTCTTCTATTATTTAGACAGACTGGAGTGGAGATTAAAAAGTACACATTTTTTTAGAAATAGCCTAACACGTCATCATTTTACGGGGCGCAGCAGTTTTTTTTTTATTTTAAAAATGGACCCTATTTTTTTTTTATTTTCTTCTTCTTTTTTCTTAAACAAGTCTTAAAAAAATGTACGAGAACGTTTTTATCGAACAGTAAGTATATAAATAATTAGTTTGCACGTACTTCATATACACGATGCTAATGTTGAGATTGCATAGATTATTGCGTGAAATTACACACCTCGCCCACTTGTTTTTCTTTTTAGCCTGCTTTAGTGCCAGCTTCGTTTTTCTTTTCCTTTTGGGAAAATGTGCTTGCTTCTTTGGTTTGGGCTGGGCTTCTGTCAGTGGTGTCAAACCATCGGTTAATAGAAAAGCAGATGTAATTGGGGAGCTTTTCGTTCTGCGAAATGGCAGAATTACACCCGTCGCCTTGGCGAAAAATGACTCCTTGCTGTCCACTTTCTCTCCCGTGGCTCCCTCTTCTCCTGTGGAAGCCTCTTCTTCTGTAGTTCCGTCCTCCGCTGTTCTTGCTTCTCCTTGTGCTGCTCCCTCTCCTTCTGATGTTGCCTTTTCGTCTGTGTTTGTCTCCCCTTTTGGTTTGCCCTCTGTGACCTCTGAGGGTACTCAGCAGTCTTTCTCTCTTCGTTCGGTGCCTGTCTCGTCTTATGCAAAGGACAGACAGTGCTACTCTATTGACTGTGCGTGTGTTGCGGGCTTGCCCTGCGTTAGTGGTGGTAGGTTGCCTACCTTCCCGCCACCAATGAAAAAACTTTCTTCTGCGGTCTCCTTTGGTCTTGGCTGTGAAGCCATCACGCAAGCTTTGCTTGTGAATGGTATTGCTCCTGCTGCTGATTTTGTTGCAAATGGTGATCCTTCTTCGGCTTCTTCTTTGGCCATAGGTCAAGTCTTTTCCTCCCTCGGTGTTGCTGGGGCTATGTCAGGTACGTCAGGTGATGTCGTATCCGATATGGATATCGATGACGTGGCTGTCCCTGTTTCTGGGGAGTCTGACGATTTGGGTGTGTGTGTGGTTTCTTCCACGGTTACTTTGGACCCTTCTGTCGCCTTGGCCCCTGCCAAAAAAGAGGTATGTGGTGTTTCTTTGCCTCCTTGTGGTCTGGACTTGCTTTCTGCTGCTGCTTCCGCCGTTGTTGCCGAAGATGGTTTGGTTGATGGTGTTTCCTTGCCTCCTTGCGGTCTGGACTTGTTTTCTGCTGCTGTGTCTGCTGTTGTTGCGGAGGAAGGTTTGGTTGGCGGTGATTGTTCTGCCATTGAGAATTCTGGTGTGGTTCCGGCTCCCGTGGTTCCTGTTGCTGCTTTGCCCCGTCCGGTGGCTACCCCTCGTCGTCTTCGTTCCGGCTGTCGTGTAGCAGAGTCGTCTGCTGTTGGTGCTGCTCCTATCGCACGTACTGTTGCGGATGTTCCTCTTTGCCCTCCTGCTTTTTCCTCTTCTCTTTGTGAGAAACAACAGAGTCGAGGTAAGCGACCAAATGACGCTCCTCCTCCTCCAGCAACCGTTCGCGCTTGCTATGTCCCTCCTTTGTCTGTTGCTTCTGCAGCTTCCTTTGGTTCCGTTTCTGCTTTTCCGGTTGTTGCTTCGGTCCCTTCTTTGTCGTCTTTGGGTTCTGTTGCTGCTGGCTCTTCTGTTTCTGTTGCTGCTGTCTCTTCTGCTTCCTGTTTCTGCCGTCTCGTCTGTTTCTTCTGTCCCTATCGTTGAGGGATCCTCCATCACTGTCTCTCCCGTACGCCCCATGGCAAAGCCTCGCGTAGCTCATTACGAGAAGGCTAGGGAGAGATTAGTGTTGAAGGCCCTCTTCGATAGGGCAGAAAAAGAAGGTATGTAGTTTAGTTTGAGATCTTGTTTTAGAATATATCACTCACTTAACCTTATTGTTTTATAGAAGAAGAGGAAGAAAAAAAAGAGAAGGAGAAAGAAAAAAATCGTTCTTCTTTGTTACGACGAAAATAAAGAATTTTTAAGGATCATTTGTTCAAGAGTAACTGTCAAGAAAGATTTTTGTTTATGAATGCGTAAACTTTGAGTGTGTAAAAAATATGATTGCGTCTAGTTTGGGGAATTGATAGGTGATGACTGGAAAGATTATACTGGTCTGTTATATTTTCCTACATAGTACCCTTTAAAAAATAAATCCGGCAAGATAATTGTATGGTCATATAGATAAAGTAGAGCCCCTTCTCCCAGGTCATACCTGGACTTTTTTGTAAAATACTACAAGCATCTGTTTAGTCATTCTCATAAACGTAACTACTCTAATAACTCAATAGGCATGAATAGGCCAAAAAAATATGTATGTCCGAGTTCACCTATATTGATTTTATGTTTGTTTGAAATTATGGCTATACGAAAACAAAATGGTAACAATTGGGTTTCATTTTAACTCGAGCCATATTGTTAACAGTTTTAAAATAGAGCCTTACGGTTAGAAATGAGAAGCTTTCATTCTCGCCCATGTCATAGATCATTTCGAAAAATGAATGCTTGTCCGAAAAAAAGGAAAAAAAAAGGTGTACTTGTGTATATTCTTTTTTATTTTGTGGCATAAGGCGTACTGTCATGCTGTAAACTGGACATGAATTAAATATCTTTGTTTAAAATGTTTGGTCAATAAGAAATTTTTCAATTTGAAAGTTAATTCAATTTCGTATGGCACTGAGGTACGCTTTAGTGTTTGCTTAATCTCGAACGTTGTTGGTGCATAATGGTAACGTAAACGGAAGGTCTTTTGCATGAATTAACATTTTGTATAATGGGCAGAAGGACAGTGCTGACCATAAATAATACTTGCTGTCAAATGGGAGGTCAAACAAAGGGTTATATACAGAAATTCTTTTGTTTGATAAAAGGTGGGTGGTAAAGATAAAGATGCAAAATATTTTCACTACAGTGAGAAAATGACACCTATTTATACTAATTAATTAGTAAAGGACACCCAAGCGGAAATAAATTATAAATTTAAACAAAGGTGACTCAGTTTAACTTGGGTCAATACAAGTGGTAAAAAAGTGTCTGTTTGTAAACGGTGTGTTCCTATTTTTTAATGAAAAAAAAGAAGAAAGCGGATGCCTACTTTAAGGCATCAAAACAGAGAAGACAATTATGCTGTACGCAAAACGAATTATGAAGAGTGATACTAATTAATGATTTATCGGGAAAAACGAGTTGTTTCACACGGGAAGAAAAATGATAAAAGAACAGCAGGATTAAGAACCAGTGCAAGAAACAATGTCTATTTGCATGGGACTGGAGCAGGATTTTTGGCAAATTTGTACCTCTTTTTTAATGAAAAAAAGAGAAGCTGGTAAAATAGCTTAAGCCATCAAACAACAAAGTGGACAATATCCTACGCAAGAAGGAGCTATGGTGTATGATATCTAGTAATCGTTCAAATTGGTATCGGGTTGTAGTGAACAGATTATTTAAATTTTATATAAAAGTAGTTTTTGGAGGCCGTAGTATCAATAAATCCTGATGGATGATCATCTGAAATCACAAAAGGGGCTAGACCAGAACAGTAAGCGCACTGCAGAAGTTATCCTTAAAAAAACTCTTACCTTTAAGAGCATTCAAAAGGTTATGTGTACCTGAATAGATTTTTTTGTTTTCTATGTTCGATTTCTTCCTTGTCAAAATAGCTTGCATTGTTTATTTTATCGAAGAAGGAAAAATGAATGATTGTTGCTACATCAATTTTCAATTTTGGAAAACGTTTAAGACATTGCTCCAGGCGAAAACCTTAATTTTACATTTTAAGCCCCACTGCTAAGTGCTCTAAAAGTAAAACAGGTTGTTTTTATATGATATGAAGATATCATAAATAATGTAGAATTTCGATCATAAATGCACTCTTTCATAACGAAGAAATTAGTCCTGGAGCCAACTTTATTCAGGAAAAAAAATGCAAAAAAAGAAAAAAAAAAGGTTCAGAGTTAAAAATAGAATTATCATCTCATCATAAAAAACATCTTTTTTCCCCTTTCAGATTTTTTTTATTATTTTCTTCCAAAATAATTCTTCTTCTTTGTAAATGCGACCAGTGCTTAAAAAGAAAACCTCAAGAGGTCGAGCTTCACATCACCAGCTACAATTACCATTTCCAAAGACAAATGCGTTTCAATGCACTAATGTCTGGTAGTAACAACAGTAAGACATGCCCTTACTTTCTTCAGGCGGAAACCAAAAAAATGTTAATAGCCTAAATAAAACGTCGAAGAACGAATGAGGTTCAAGAGAACGTTCCCAACATTCAGGCAATTGCCGTTGAACAAGGTTCATGCACATTGTTAAAAAAAAAAAAACTTTCATCGCAAACTAATTTTACAAACAGATATCATAAATGACATAAGCAGCAGTAATGTCGAAGAATATGAAGAGAATATCAAAGAAGCCGAAGATGTAAGCATCGTAGTTGATGGGGAAGAAGACGATGACGATGACGACGAAGGAGAAGAAGAAGAAGAAGAGGAAGTTTTGTGACGATGGGAATATTGGAACAAACGTCGAGAAGAATGTCGATCCTAAAAAAACTGAGGCACAAATCAGAGCAAACATGTATGGATTATTTGCTGCCAGTTTTAAGGTTAAGGAAGGTCTCACCGATAAAGCAGCTGATACCGTTCTTCAGTTTTTGAACATCGCTTTAAAGGATGCCAATGATAGTAATCAACCTGCTTTGCCAAAGTCGTTCAAAACAGTTGAGAAAAATTTTAATGGTGATTGGGATGCTGGTGTCACCAGATATACGGTTTGCGGAAAATGCCATTCAATCTATGCTCCAGAAGTGACCAAGGTATGATAATTCACGTTCTTAAAATCAAAGTCTAATCATTATAATGCAGGATAAAACACCCTCTCAACAATCATGTTCTTTTTTCTCGCTGGATGGTGATGTTTGTGATGAAGTTTTGTTTGAGCAGGTGAGGAAACGTAATGGCAACAGCATCTACAAGCCCAAATTTGTTTACCCCTACAAGTCTCTCAAAAGTTCGTTGCAAGAGTTGATGCTTCGCCCCGAATTCGAAACTACAATGAATGATTGGAGATTAAGAGATGTTGTTCCAGGAACGTATTGCGACATATATGATGGTAAAATGTTCAAAACATTGATGGATAACACAGGCCTTCCATTTTCAACATTGCGAAATCCGTTGTATGCAACGTTAAATGTCGACTGGTTCCAACCTTTTGATAATGTAAATTATTCTTGTGGTGCTATTTACATGTGCATCAATAATTGGAAAAAAGAAGACCGATAAGGAAGAAAACATCATCCTGTTTGGGCTTATGCCTGTTGGAAAAGAGCCAAAACTGGACCGAATCAACACGTACTTGAAACCCTTGGTTGACGAGCTTTTAGAATTGGAAAGAGGAGTGATGATGAAAACGGCGGCAAAACCTGACGGGATTAAAATCCATTGTGCTTTGTTGATGTTGGCATGCGATATCCCTGCTTGCAGGAAAGTAGCTGGTTTTGCATCTCATTCCAGTGGCCATGCGTGTAACAAGTGTGAAGGTCAATTCCCCTTGGTTGAAGGTAGACCTGATTTTTCCGGAATCAACACTGTTGCGAGTAAATGGCCTGAACGATCGAAGGCAAGCAACTTGCGAGCGGCGTTGAGTTGGCGCAATGCCACTACTGAGAAAGAAAGAGAGGACCTCGTGAAGGCAAATAGAACAAGGTATTCCGAACTGCATCGATTGGGGTACTTTAATGTTGTTAGACGGAGCATTATTGATCCCATGCACAATCTTCTTTTGGGGACATGCTCAAGATTTGTGAAGATTTGGAAGGAAGAAGGGTACTTCACCAAAGTCAACTTGGAGAAATTGCAATTTCTTGCCGACTCGGTTGAATTACCTGCTGGTTTTGAAAGAGTTGATCAAAAGATTGCAAATGGTTTTATCAACTTTAAAACTGACAATTGGAAACGTTGGTGCTTGTTGTATTCCACTTTTATTTTGACAGGTAAATTTTATTCGTCATAATAAACGTCTTGTTTTTTAACTTTGTAATGAACAGGTATTTTACCAAAAGAAAACAGGAGAAACTGGATAGATTTTTTAGATGCATGCTGAAATATTTTGAAAACTGTTATCCACAAATCCGAGGTTGATACGACACACAAGCTCTTTTTGAATTTCATTAAATAGCCGAAGGTTTATACGGCACCAAACGTCTTGTAATAAATAACTATCTTCATGTGTACCTTAAACAGACGATTGAAGATTTTCCGCACCCAACGCATATTGGCTTTTCTTTTTAGAACGTTGCAACGGATATCTAGGATCATTTAAAAATAGCCGAAAAAATGTTGAAGTTACGTTTGTGAAAACGTTTTTGGAATAATATAATCGGCAGCATAACCCAATCCAAACAAACAGCAAGGCCATTAAATCATCATCCTCATCATCCCCATCATTCCAACTTCAAAAAATCATGGAAACGTTTTTGCATCAGAGGATTATGGTTGGTGAACACTCCAATGACCGGGAGAAACGCCAGATTGAAGAAGGGTTTGTTCCAAACAAATGTACCGAATTTTTTTTTAATTTAGACATTATTGTCCTCATGTCTGAGTCTCTACCTTTGGGTGTTGTTCCACCGAACGTCTTAACAGAAACAGTGATCGAGGAAAGCCATTACATGTATTGTTCCTTCATGATGTCGCATATACAGGGTCTATGGCACTTGGTCTGCTGAACTCT